ATAAACTATGGTTTTGTAGGAAATAAAGCACTTTGGGCTGCCATCAGACAAGGAAGCAGTTCTTGGAGAAGGCTGTTAATTTGCTACACTTGTAATGCTGAGGCATGGACTGGTCCCCTGCAGAAAATACTACGTTCTCTATATACCTCCTCCTGTTATTAAAATCAGAACTATGTGGAAGAGCAGAACCACAACAGGAGACTGCTACTTATGGGGCAAAAAGAATGGGTGCCAACACAAGTACTAAAACTATACTGGCTGTCTTTTAGTGCTTTTGTTGGTGTCCTTTAAAAAAAAAAAAATGTTGTATGGCAAAATACAAAACATTTTGTAGTAATCAAAATATATCCATACCCACAACTGAGAATTAAGGTTGCAGTTTAAGTGCTACTTAAGTTGAAAACCTCCTTAGTAACTTTAGTGGTCTTTAGTTCAGACATCAGGCTAGAGATGACTTTTCAGAAAAAGAAATTTCTTTCTGTATTCAGCCCTGAAGAGTGAGCTATAAAATCTATCTGCTCAGCCACATTGGAACTTAACATCTTCATATCTTTGGAAATGATCTCTCTTTCCATAACCATCAGGTTAGATAACTGCTACCTAAAAACCCTAGTGTCCCTTTTGTTAAATACATATGGACCACAAAAATCAACACCTGCACCCTTACAAATCTTTAACAAAGGAAGAGACTGGAGGTTACACTAATGCCCTTAAAGCACCCCAAAGACATAACACATACAATCTCTTTCATACATACCTTTTTTTCTTAAGTGGGTCATAGTGTATTAATCCACAGTGTGTTACGTAACCATGGTACTTTTTTGTCTTTTAAAGCAATAGAGATTCAAAGATATAGCAAAAAAAGATATACTTTCTACCAAACAAACAAAAAAAATCTTAGTATTACTTGCCCTGTCCTCAAAATGTTTGATCTGCACATCCACTGTTGACAGAGAATCCTTAGCACTGCTTCCTTTCCAGATGATTGAGCAGAGGTGTAATGGCATCACAAAATACATATCAGTATCACATCAGCATGGCCTCAGCCAAGATTGAATATACATGCATCCTGATATTTACATGCCTTTGTGTGACAAAAAGTTAGCCCTATTGAGACAGGGAGCTCATCCCAGTTCACAAGCACATGCTTGGCCCTTCCCAGGTTACACACAGCCCCTGAGTGATGCATCACACAATTCCAATGAAGAATACAGCAGAGGACAAGGGGGGGGGAGGGGGGGGGTGGGCAGAGGGAAAGAACCACAGCAAGCTATGCTTTCACCTGCTTTCACCTATGGTAGTCCACCATAGCACATGCCACGTTCAAGAATGCAGAGGGCATCACCATAACATTTCAGAAGGCTTCAGGCATCTGCCCAAAGTAGCATCAATTCAGGAGGCTGCAAGCATCTGTCCTTCTTGTTCCTTAGCCCAGCCTTTTATCCCCTCATGTTCATGCATTGCACCTGTGTGCCCTCTGTTCCTGTGGTGATTGGTCAGTGCACCTGGGCACTCCATGGCTCATTGCTGTCAGTGCTGCTCACCTGGCCTACACAGCTGTAGCCCGTTAGGGATGAGGCTCAGTTCAGCCCTATTCCCAATAACCACAAATTGTGTACCTACACAGTTCACTTACCTGGTGCTGCTACTGAAGGTATCACTTCGGCACTTTGGCAGTCAATTAAGGAGAACTTGATGTTTAACAGGGTATAACTTGATTGAAGGCAATACAAACCAGGAATCATATGGTGTTGTAAACAGGTTAGCAGATAGGTCAGACCAGGGAAATCAGTCTGTAGCCTCTGTGTCTTTGGAATCTGAAAATTTCTTTAATGCAGGTACCTCTGTCTGGTAGAAGAATGCTCATCCCTGGTTTAGGAAATTAATGGGAGGCTAAAGTCTCCAAATACCAATAATTGGTATATAATAGGTATTGAGTTCTACAATGAATTTGGACTAAAGTGACAGGTTTACAGAGGCACAGGAGTATCTGGCTTGACACACAAGGTTTCTTAGCACCACACTTGTATTACACTCAGAAGAGCTTTGTTGCTCTCCTCTCTGACATTGCTTACCTATAGGAGTGGGGTAGGAGAATGTTAGGGATTGTACTACCATCATAAAGGTAAGGAGGGAACATAAAAATTCTCATATCCCTAAGTACCTGTGTCTGTACACATGTATAAATACATATGCACATATGTGGGTTCACACAGAAAGCAGTGATGATGCTGATGGGGACTAGCTGCTCACTCTGACAGTTGCCAGCACACAAAATACATATCAGTCTGGTTCCTAATAGGTTTGTATCCCCTTGCACAGCTGGAGGTGCTTGGCATAGCAGCTACAATCAATAAGCCTTAAATTTAAGTGGTACAGAAAGTGGTTCAAATAGTTCAAGTAGTTCTTCTGGGTCAGCTGTGGGGCATAAGGCATGTAAAGGAAGAATCATAAACATCCTTGACCTATCAAGTGTTTTCACCAGCCATAGTTTTTCACCAAGCAAAGCAAAACAAAAAACTTCATAAGTATAAAGTGATTTTGGCATCAGACTCTCCTTGTTTGCAGTCCGATCACACTGTAAGACAATTGGCATCATAATCAATTGAATAAAAATTATGGTACAGTCTGAGGGTGACATTCTTTTACTGGATTTTTCTGAAACCAGTTACAAGTTCTTTTCAGAAAAATCAACACAAAGAAAAAGTAAATTTCTCTGGGCCTTACTGAAAAATTAGTTGCTGTACTTATAACAAAGTGTATTGTACCTATGGCCAGAGTTACATGAAATTGGTTTTGGTCAAGGAGAGATGCTGTTCCCAACTTGGTGTCAAAGTCAACTCAAGTCCCCTGCAGACTAGGCTGTAAATGCCTAGAAACTGAATTTAGCATTCAATTCAGCAATTAACAAATGACAGTTCAAACCATCCCCTTAAGCTTGGCTACTGTCAGTAGAAACGCTTTCCCCACTGCTTATTGTTAATGCCTGAACTTCTGTTAAGTGTCTCTTAGACTCATCTCTAGTCTCCCCATGGAAACCAGCATTAGGCTTTCACAGCAAAATCACCCAGGCAAAATGTCTACACAGATATTAACACCTTTTTGTGTGTCTGCTAGAGCCATGGAGCAAGTGAATTCCACGGGCATTCTGTATTTATGCTATTTATATTTACCTAAAATGGCTGCAGTGGCATGGGTACAATCTGGCTCTTCCACATCCTCCTACAGTTCCTGACCATACAGTTCCTCATAACATCTTGCTCTAATCAGTATCAAACTTGAGCAGAGATTTTCTTTGAATGTTTTGTCTTCATTGTCCTCTTCCTCCCTTTCTCTTCTGTTAAAAAAAAATATTTTAAAAGCAGTAAGGCACTTAAATCTGAGTGGATATTTATCTATTAAATTGACACAAACATACAAGCAATTTTCTCAGAGCTGTTGACTACTTTTCATCTGTTTAAGCAGCTTCCAAGAAAGTCTTTCCCTGTGTGGGATGTAGGGCACATCTGAAAAGTGAAAATCAAAAATCAAAACCCTTTTGACACAGTGACTCACTGAGAGTGATTTCTAATTAGGGGCACATTCTCCTCTTGATCCCTACCTATATAATGTAACTCCACTAACGTCAAAGAGAAAGCTGCCCTCCCGAAGTTTGTCAGGCAGCACCAGGGGCTGGTCTTTTGCTCAGGGGCTGAACAGAATTTCTCAGCCTCTGGATGTTTCTTTCAGTGCTGTGGGTCAGCTTCCTTCCGGAGCATGTGAGTAGCTCTTGCTGCCAGCAGCAGCCAGTGCAGGAGGTGGCAGGGGAAGGAGGAGGCCTGCCTGGGCTGGCGGCCATCCCGGCCGCTGCTGGCACAGCTGGCATCTGGAAGCACTGTGTTGGACATCTGACACACCAAGCTCAGGTGGCCCAGCTGTGGAGGGCTGCATTCAGAAAGCAGGGCAGCTACTTCTCACACTGCAGATCAGTAAATTTTGGTCAGTACCTGGTCACAGTGACACAGTTCCTGTGATCTCCTGGCGCTCCCCTCAGACAGCTGCGGTCATCAGGAGAGCCTGAGAGCAGCTGCTGGAGGGAATTGCACCGTGTGGCAGAGCTGGCAGTGCTCGTGTGGACACGGAAACACACCTGGAGCCTCCTGGGGCTGCCTGCTCAGCACAGCTTACAAACGACACCACTGAAATCTCTTATCTTTGCCCACACAATCTCCTAAAACAGCACCCATGTCTCTGCCTTTGAGCACCTACTGGCCCTCAGTCCCACAAAGGCAGGGCTGCGACAGGCGTCTGACAGGGCCATACCAACAATTTAACAGTAGGGACAACCAGACTATGGCTCTGTGTTGAGTTTACTAATGAAAACATGACCTGTGGATGCCTAGATGGCTGAGTTCAATCCATACCACAGCTCAGGAAAGCAGGCACCCAGCATCAGGAATGCTGATAAAAAACAGGCAAGGAGGTAATAGCAATGCCCACCACGAAGAACATGGCAGCATGTTATAATTCTTTGACTACATTTTATACTTCTTTGGTGCAAATAAACCCCCTCCTGGCTCTACAGAAAGCCTGGACAGCTTTGCAATGAGCGACCCCAAAAGAGTGAGGCGGGGGTGGCAGAAGAGGTGTGACAGGACCACCGCGCCGGGGTCGTCCTGCGCCTCCCTTCCGCCTCAGGGCTCCTGCTGCTGCGGGCACCACTGCCAGCTGCCGAGGCCGGAGCAGGGCTGGCTCCGCGCTGCCGAAAGGGGCCGGCCGGACAGGGCAGTGCCGGGACTCCTGAGGGAGCCACCTGAGGGAGCAAGGCGCCGCCGCAGCCCCCGGCTCCGCAGGGCTCGCTGTGAGGCGCCGGAGGGGCCCCGCCGGCCCTGCTCCCCGCCGCGCAGCAGGGGCAGCTGTCATCCGGCAGCACGGAAATATGGAAAAGGAGGGAAACGAGGACTGGGCCGAGACGATTTGGGGAAATGTTTGCGAAATAAGCATCAGGAAATAAAAGCAGATTGGAAACAATTACGGTTTATTAATTACCATCACTTGGGGTTGCAGGGTGTTTGAGGTGATGCCTGCGTGCTCCTTATGTGACTTTCCATGGAGGCAAAGATCTGTAGCTGAGTCCTTCTGCTCCGTGCCACAGCCCATGAACCGTATTTAGGTTACGCACTGGCAGCTTTCACTGTTTCCCAGAGCATCAGGTGTTGTTCTTGATCATGAGGGCTGTGCCCTGCTTCCTATTCCAAATTACCTTCTTTCTAGTAGCTCCTTCTGCACCTAAGCCAGCCACACTATTTCAGGGTCACATAAAAGAGGTGGAAAGTAATATTTATTTTTGGGACCAAAATATTCACCTAAGAAGGCCAAGGTTCTCATTGCTGATTTTTAGGTACTTGTATTTTTTTTTGCAAGGGTAAGAAGCTATTGTTGAAGGGCAGGAAAATTCCCATTTCTCAAAGATACTTCCTGAATATTCCAATACACTTTAAAAATGGTATTGTCATTCAACTACACTTCACTTTATTTTATTTTTGGGCTTAGGACTAGGTTTCATTACATCAGCTAGACCGAATCCTGAGAGGAGAAGGGCCTCCTGATTACCTCAGTAAATTAAAAACACTAGATAAGATCTCCAAACCAGAAGGCAAACATTTGCTTGGCGTGGGACTCTATTTCCCAGTTCCCATACTCTATGTTACTTTGGAATCCCAAGTTGAATTCTTGTTCTACCTTTTTGAGATACTTTTGTTGAGTCTGCACCTCCAAAAAGCTCAGCAGAAATTCAGCAGATAAAGATAAATTTGACTGAGTTTGGAAGAGTATTCAAAGCCCTGAAGAATTTTAACCTCAAGATTAATTAGCTGCAGCATCTTTGTCTTGTTCATTTTTATTGCCTCTCATCAGTGAACATTAACCTGACAGAACAGAAGCAGACAATTAATCTGAAACCATGCACAGGGGTACATGAGGAAGGCTCTGTGAAAATAGGATGTGGCTGTTATGATTTCAGACAAGAGATTTCCAGAAAATGAAGTCCATGGACAAGCCATGGACACAGAAGGCCCCTGGAAGTAATTGTTCCAATGACCTTCGTTAGCTCTCAGTACCACAGAGGCACATGATGAGGCACTGGAGCTCTTAGTCAGTGGATATGGCTTGTGACTAGGCCTTTGGAAAGACTTCCAGCCAGCTGGTCAGTAACTGTTAATGAAAAACTGCTTATTTCATATCAAACCCAGCATCTTAAAAAACCAATTAAACTCAGAAGTGTTACAAATATTTGTAAAAAGTAAAATAACATCATTTTGGTGGCAAACCTTTGCTTTCATTCACATTTAATATTTCTCGCCTTGTTTACTCTTGTTAGAAAAAGGTGAGTAAAGCCAAAAATAAAAATCATAATTAAAAAAAAGAAAAAAAAAAGGAGTAAAAATTAACCCAAAATATTCTTCAATTCATCAGCTTGCTGAATTTATTTTGTTACACAATAAATTAGCAGAGAAGTAATTTACTAAAAAAAAAAAAAAAAAAAAAAAAAAAAAAAAAAAAAAAAAAAAAAAAAAAAAAAAAAAAAAAGAAAAAAAAAAAAAAAGGAGAAAAACCTGAGAGAGCTGGGGTTGTTCAGCATATAAAAGAAAAGGCTTTGGGAGAGACCTCACTGCAGCCTTTTAGTACCTTAACAGGCCTCATAAAAAGCATGGTGGAGCTTTTCATACGGGCAGATAGTGACAGGTCAAGGAGTAATGGTTTTAAACTAAAATTGAGCAGGCTTAGATTAGGTACTAGCAAGAAATTCTTTGCTCAGAGGGTGGTGAAGCACTGGAACAGGTTGCCCTGGGAGGTGTGGATGCTCCATCTCTGGCAGTGTTCAAGACAGGCTGGATGGGGCTCTGTGTAACTTGACCTAGTGGGTGACATCCTTTCCCATGGCAGGGGGATTGGAACCAGATGAACTTTAAGATCCCTTTCAACCCAACTTATTCTATGATTCTATGTCCTAAAAGTTGTACTAAGTTTGCACATGGTGAGTTTGTATCGGATGAGCTCAACAGAAGGCTCATATACAGTTTAACCCTAGAAGTAAATAAATTATCCTTTCTTCAGCAAACTCTGTATCCAATAGCAGGAGTTTCCCAAGGTGTGTGACTGTGTACTACTGAAAAATTTCAAAGAGGAGGAGTTAATTAATTTTCTGTCCTTTCCCTGGCCTCCAGCCCAGGGAAGTGTCTGACAGCTACTCTTGCAGACTAATAACCTACTTGCTCCTAAGAGGACGTGTTTGATAGCAAAGCATTGTATTTTCTGAAACTTCCTGGAAAACAACTAGGTTAAATGCTTACCTGTAATTGCTAATCATCTCTCCAGTTGGGTTTCACACTGTGCTGCTCTTCAAAAGGTCCTTGGCTGTCCCTTTCACAGGTGGAGAGCACAGGACTAAATTACACAAGAAGTACCTTTGTCTAGATGTACAGACATATGCAACTGTCAGACACATCAAGGTAGGTGAGATGCTAAAAGCTTCCAGAAATTTTCAAGGCAGAGAGAAAGTAAAGGAACCTAGACCTTTTCTTTACAAGGAAAAAAGCTACAATGTGAAAATTCTATTTGCAGAAATCATTCTGTCAAACATAACTCCATTCATACCTACATACTAATTAATCCACAACAAAGAGACCATTTTTTTCAGCTATGACAACTGTCTCAATCACTCAAACTCTGTGACACCAGGATACCACTGTCACACTGAAGCAGACAGAACATGATCCAATTCTGACCATTTGCATCACAAGCTCAAAATCTGGAGCTGTGCTGAGCCTTTTTCCAGTGCTCAAGAGCTGTTTCTTAACATACACCCAAACACTACAAATTACATCCATCATTATATACCTGATACAACCCGAGCGACCAAAGCAGCCATGAGCATAATTTCTTCACTGTCTTCCAACTTGACCATATGGTTTTTCAGAAATGTTTAACAACATCCCAGTTCCTTTTGCCTTCAACTCATCCCCTGGAGTGAGTTACCTCTGGGTACGTCTCACTTCATTAGCTACAGAGGGAGTATAAATGGGCAGACTAGAGTGATCATCTGACTTCTAGATGCCGACGTCAGGAGGGGAATCCTACCCTCTGTCTGACATAATCCTAGCAGGTTCTCCAATAGCACAAGTGAGGCATGTTGTTCCAGAAATGAAACTCAGCCAGCTGGCATCAGATGGGCCCTATAGAATGTCCTGCTGCAATGCCCACTGTGGTTGCTGCAGTGTATGAGCACAAGGCAGCATAAACCTAAAGGGATATTGGCCTGTCTTGAAAAAGTAATTTCATTTTATGTCATGACACTGCAAAGTAATTGTGCTCAAAATAACTGGTTTAACTGCCTAAATACGTTTTTAGTACTTGAGCATCCAGGTGGATTCAATTGTGCTTGCAATTTTGCAGACATTAACGAGGGAGACTAAATGACTGAGGCGGGGAAAGAGAACAATGCTGCACTCCTGTGAGACAGCCTGACACACGGACTAGAGCACAGCACAAGCTCTCAGGAGCCTCCAAGTCTAGACCCATTTTGACCACTGACTGACATATGTTGTAAAGCTAAGCATGGAAAATAAAACACAACTGTTCTCTGTGTCTTTTACAAAAATAATACTGGCTGAAATCTTCAACAAGTGTAAACTATCAAATAACAGAAATAACTGACTCCAAAAGAAGCAGGATTACAAGCCAAATTCAGTCAGCTTTTAAGAATAAGAATTTCCTTCCTGAGCATCTTTTCCAAAAGCAACATGTGACACAGCATGAATATAAGCAACACTTGAACTGTTACAAAATACATTAAAAATAAATTACTTAAATCCAGAAATATTATTCTGATGGGCTAAAGCAGACTTATAAGTTGTATTTTTATGTCAATAACTGTTTACAGAACACTAGCCTTAACTCCAAAAGCCATTTAACTCCTCACAGAAGTTTTTATAAGGAAATAATGTACAAGGCACACTAAACACTGTTGGGCCAAACACATTCTACAGTTTATTACACATATTACATTCTTAAATAAAAATGCGTCACATAACATTTTTGCATAGATATCTTACAATATACCAATTTAAAAAAGAATTATGAAACAGACCAGTAACAAAAATAAATTTTTTCTTCATTAATAATTTTGTAACATTAACATACCACCATCATATAATACAAATAATATTTTTAAATCTTAAGACTTTTTGTACAGCAAAAAAACTGACAAAGTAATATATTTATATATATATATATATATAAAAAGCTTAAAAAAAATAAAATGTCAAAAAAAGGCAGAACTGAGGGCTACAAGATTGGGTACTTCTGTGATATATTAGAAATACCAGAGTAGGCCTGAGAGAACGTGACCGAGGGCATCTCCGAAATGCACTTGTCAGACACATCTGGTAAAAGAAAAATTATAGTGCAAAATGAAAGTCCTTCAAGCAATGTTGTTTGTTTTTTTTTTTGTTGATTTTTTTTTGGTTTTTTTTTTTATTAGGGAGCATTCATACATTTTGTTGATGTTATTGTTTTTGTTGTTAAACAAAAATTCCCCAAACAAAAATCTCATGTGTTGTAGAGAG